TTACCGTATTGACCTCGCTATCGCTCGGTCAATACGGCAAGACCTCAGTTTGAGATTTTCCCGTAACGACCTCACTCTCGGTTATTAAGTAGTTAACATTTCATCGTGTTGATTGCGTATTATTTAATAGTATCAATTGCCATTTTCATATTTATACTGACCCGGTTATTTCGAATCCCCGCTTTATCGAACTACAGTTAAATCCGGACTCCTCGAACCTGAGTTTTCACACCTCCCGATAGCTTGAATCAAAAGTCGTTTCCCTCTCCTAATTTTACCTCCGATTTCTCGAACTAGCCGATTGTTCAAACCACTTTTCGTTTTCCCTGTAGGTTCGAAGAATCGGGATTCCACTGTATTTTTCTTTTCCCTCGGTTGGAAATTGCGAGGTTCAACTGTAGTTAATGCCAAGGCTGGGTTGTTCGAAAGCGGATTAACGCTTAACCAGGATTAAAAGTTAACCAACGTACAAATATTTCTTGTATAAAATTAAAAATGTTTTTCACGCTTATGTTTTGAGTAGTTTGAGATTACTCAAACTCAATCTTGAAGGAAAATCAATACAAACGGAAAACCTCACCGAAAAGTTCCAGAACTGAAATCAAAATTCTTGGTAATCCTGGGTTAACCTAATCGGGCTTTGAACAACCCGCCCTGGCCATGGTCTCCAGGCCGAGCGGCCATGCTCGAGCCATGGCCAGTGCCATTGTGTTGTGCGTTCCTGGGCGCACCCAGATGTATACGTGGACCCGGTGAATTTCATGCACGGGGTAACCCTGTGATGGACTAGCATTCCATCCCGGGGAAAATAGAATAATGTAATGCAATAGAAACCTGAATGAGTTTTAGCGGTTTTCGTCACTTCAGAAACGAGAAGAAAACTGGGGCAATATTTTGTCGCCAGTAAGAACCCACAAGCCACTGCGAGATGAGACTCTCCCCCAGTTTTCTTCTTCGTTTCTTAAGTAGCGAATGGGACAGTTGGGACTGACAGAGTCTTTTCCTTTAACCACAAATGTAACGATTGTTTCATTCGTTTCTTGAACAGATGCAGTTCATGGCCATTCTGATTCATACAACCTTTGCCCTGTGCGTCACAGGCTGTGACTTCAACCCAAGGTTCCTAGGGCTTCTATGGTTGTATTGCATCTCTTTGATCATGTTTTTTGTAAACTTCTACATGCATGCCTACCTTGGCAAAGGGAAAAAATCGGAGTAAACGAAGCAGAAGTTCTTTACAGCAATATAAACACAAGTTGAGGCTAATCCTCGGTGTAAAAACTTGTAAAACCCACCAGTGACGTGAATAAAAAAAAATTCAACAAGGGGGGAGGGGCTACTCCGGATTTCAAGTGACGGGGATGATGGAAGGAATTTTTTTTTTTGGGGGGGGGGGGGGGGGGGG